ACAAAGACTATATTGTGTGTAACAAATGAATGTGGAAACTTTTTGATCCTAAGTATGTGAAGTGAGTGAATGTGCGTATGTACACGTGTGTGTATATATTGTTCATGTGTTTCCCCAAAAGAGAAAAACGCGTTCTTCCGCGAGAGATTTACATGTGGTCGTATAAGCGGAAAATTAAGAAGAGAATGATTAAATTTTATCACAGACTATTTATAGTGCTGGAGAGCGTCCCCTAGTAACGGTTTCGAAAATTAGGAGGAGGTAATTTTTCCGTGACAGACTTACATGATGACGGATAAGATCAGAAGAGAGTGATAAAAAAATGCAATAACTGTCATAATAATAATAAACACCATAATATTCAGCCAATTATCGGGGAATATTTCTCTGGTTACCAAAAGACAATAATAGAGGAAGTGGTTCGAGCCAGACTCCATATTAGGCATACACAGGTTACTCACATACATTTATTGAGAAATAAAATCCCACCAATATGTGCGATGCGGGTCACTGTACGCGTTGAGAGATAAACACGTGTGTCTCCTGAAATGCCCACAACAAACATGGCAGACTCAGAGTATGAGTCTACCTAAAAGAAACAAAAAGAAAACAAGAGCCGATATATATACAAACAAATGATAGATGTATTAACAACAAAGGTTTACAAGTGAGAAAAATGATGTGTAACAAATGAATATGGAAACTTTTTGTTCCAAATTATGTGAATGAGTGAATGTACGTACGCATCTGTGTGTGGGTGTATTGTTCATGCCTTTTCCCAAAAGGGAAAAACGCAATCTTCCGCGAGAGATTTACATATTGCATATATAAGCGGAAAAGAATGAAAATATAATGATAATATATATATATATATATATATATATATATATATATATATATATATATATATCGCAGTCTATTTATACATTTGGAGAGCATCCGATAGGAACAGATCTGAAAATTAGAAGGAAATAATCCTTGTGTATCATGTCAGAAGTTGTACACGGCCAGGCATATAGTGTTGGAATTTTGCAACTTCCGGAAAATCAGGAACAAGTATTACAGAACGAATAATCTTAGAGAACTTTTTCAAAATATTAAACCAGATAAGATACTTCAATTTGTCAAAAAGATTGGACTTTACAATAAAATATTTAAAAAAATGTTTATAAGTGTTTACACAAACAATAAAACTTCTCTACTAGGGGAAAATTTTCCTTCAACGATATCTGAAGGTGGTAAGGAAGGTTCAGTGATGATCACTGAACCACAGTTGAAGCGAAGCACTCATTTGTCCAACGCTGTTGAGCTGACCACTCCTTCGAGCAACGGTCGCTCTCCGGACCAGATCGATGGATGACTGATATCAGCCACAGAGACGAATTCTACTGTTGGCAATGAAGGTTAGTGCCGATTGCCACAACCCAGTTGAAGAAAAGCTCTCATGACAGAAGAGACAGTAATCGACTACACTGGAGTCATAAACATGGCTTCTCAGAAACACAGAAGTATCTCTATCTTATATGTAAGAAACTTCCTTTTTGTTTTTCCTTACATTCTGTACGCTGTGTAGATATATGATATATTGTTTCCCACGTGGGACACGTATATATATTTTTTGTGCATGTTTGTCATTCATTTTCTTTTCGGCCATTCCGTTCCGTCTGTAAATTATGGTGTTATATTACGGATATGATACTGCCAATAATGGGGGAAATAAATGGGAGAATAAACATTTCTTCCATAGCTTTCTCTTTTCATAAGTTTATTAAAGGAAATGGCAACAGTTATGGAATAACTCCCATGAGAATAAATTACACAATATTCATTGGTGAATGGTTCGCTGGCTAACAAAAGAGGAGAGAAGGTGTTTCTCGCTAGACTCCTTATTGGGCATACACATGTTACAGGCAGACATTTATTGAGAAATAAAATCCTATCAATACGTGTACCATGTCAGGAGTCATATAGAATCAGGCACATCATGCCAAAATGTTGCAACTTTCAGAAACACCGGAACATGTACTAAAGAACGAATAATCTTAGAGGACTTTTTGAAAACATTAAACCAGATAACATACTGCAATTTGTCAGAAAGACTGGACTTTACAATAATATATATATATATATATATATAAAATGATTATATGTGTTTACACAAACAAAAAACTTACCCTCAATCATTCTTGACAAACAATAAAATTTGTTTTTAAACATACCTGACGAACAATAAAAATTCAACTTTGAAACCTACAAACATACCTAAAGATCTATAAAATTTTCTTTCAACCGTATTAAACGATCTATAAAATTGGCTTTCAAACATATCTGAAGAACTATTTATCATACTCTCATGACAAACAATAAAATATGTTTAGAACACAATCAATTTGCTTCTAAATCAGCGTTCGTCCACCTTTTGAACTTCATGAACCACTAAATGTAGAATTTTAAATATGGCGGACCCCTAATATGAATTTAGAAAAAAGGTAAATACATTTATATAATAATAATAATAATAATAATCGGAAAATTTTTATTTTATTAATATGAAATGCATCCATTAAACCTAACAAAGTTGTCGAGTAATTATTTAAATAAAACAAATTGAAAATTTGAAGTTTATTCAAGTATTGCGCATTTTCAGTGTTAGGTCCCAGTAAAAAATAATAAAATAGTATTTTCAGTCATTAACACCGAGTCTATTGCCGATTAAGCGTTTACAATGTCATGCGAAAATGCCATTCGTATGGCGATTTGACGTTTTCAACGTCCACTAAATTTTTTTTTTTTCAAAAATATTTAGCAAAAATAGTTTTCGAGTACGAATGCTTATAAATTTGTATCTTGTGCATAAGCCGATTCTTGAAGATCCCACCATTACTCCGTTGCTATGCCATGTTGGTAGAAAAATCATACTAGTAAGCCATTTAGTAACTAGTTAACAATAATGGTAAGAAACCATTCAGTAACAAGTATTGGACATGACTTTGCAAGGTATGTTAGGTTATACTATGGCTAGATGATGTCATATTTGTGTACTCGTGTTTATTTCGAAATAACATAAGGTCTTGAACATGTATATATATATATATATATATATATATATATATATATATATATATATACAACCAACCATAATACGTTTTGTTATTCGTCATTTTTGAATCTGAAGCTTCATAAAAATTGAAATAATGTCCGAATTTTTCTGCGGACCATCAAAAATTTTGCACGGACCACCAGCAGTCCGTGGACCACCGGTTGGCGACCACTGCTCTAAATGTCCCCGAAGACGTTGAGGGGCATTTAAACACGATCAATCAATCAATCGTGCCAAAGGTCAATCTTTATTTATCATCTGTCTCCTCATAATTCTCATCATCAGCTCTTCCAATCATATCACAGACGGCATTCAACATTAGCAATTGTTTTTGTTGTAACACTCTACGTTGAGTGGCTGTCGAGCGTTTTTATTGGCTGGAATTTTAGTATAAAAATCTGTCTCTCTATGAATAGACTAGCAGTAGAGCCCGGCGTTGCCCGGGGTTGTAACAGTAAGAGATAGATCAAGTATCGACCATCATAAAGACTGAAAAATAGAATTGACAAAGACTATTGTTTAAGGTTGACGGACACGCATGTCTTAATTAGTTTTTTTTTTGTTTTTTTTTTACGAATTGGTCAAACCCAAACTCACACAAAAAACATTGTTTTCAATCGTTATGAGTCTACCGATTGAATAGAATTTTTCAATTTTATTATAAACAATTGTCTTGTAAATGGAATTTTTAAAGCATTCTGAATGTAAAAATAAAAGAAAAAAGTGTGCAAGACAATAAAAACACTACCTGAAAAAAAAAAGTGAAGTTTTTTGTTGAAATAAAAAAAAAAAATGTAGGAAATCCGATCCCATATATAAACACACACACACACACACACACAAACAAACAACCTGGGTTTTATAATAAGTATAACTCGATATGAGTTGTCCCCCTTTCATCCTCGAAACAGCGATGCCTCTTAATCGTGTTTCAAATTGATTTTGTGCAAAAACAATTGTGTTTTTCCAATTTTTGGCACTGTCAGAACCACCGCAAGGTAATTTTACGTAATCCTGTGTAGTTGAAATCGGTTGAAAAATGTAGGAAATCCGATCCCATATACACACACACACACGCACACACACACACACACACACACACACACGCATACACAGACAAACAACCTGGGATTTATAATAAGTATAACTCGATATGAGTTGTCCCCCTTTCATTCTCGAAACAGCGATGCCTCTTAATCGTGTTTTCAAATTGATTTCGTGCAAAAACAATATGTGTTTTTCCAATTTTTGGCACTGTCAGAACCACCGCAAGGCAATTTTACGTAGTCCTGTGAAGTTTTGTTGAAATCGGTTGAAAAATGTAGGAAATCCGATCCAATATATAAACGAACAGACACACACACACAACCTGGGTTTTATAATAAGTATGATAACGATCAGAGATCGCTTATGGTGTGTGGGTTATTTCAATGTCATTTACAAGCAAAGATTTGTTGATAAAAAAAAATAAATAAACGCGTACATGAATAAATAGCGTCAAAATATTTTTATACCGTATTTACTCGATCGGAATACTTGTAAGGGAGCAGTTAATTCAAAAGCAAACAATTTGTCGGTCTTTGCCGCAATAGTTGCGTGTTGTGTAACATAAACCTTGTATATCTTTCAATATAGATATTCTATCATAGCAACGCCCAACAAAGGAGGTCGACTGACAAAAATCTCGAATTTATTAATAGCAAAGATGTTGGATCATTTTTGGGGAGGGCAATTAATCTTAGAATATTAGATCTGTCTTAATATCTTTGACAAGTCTTTTCTTCTCGTTCTACTAACTGAGGGATGAGATTTCAAATATGAGACATCACTGACCCTCTTCTTAGAGGTAAATGGCTTTTACAGAAAACTGCGTTTCCCATCTAGTTTTTTAGAATCTTATATGCCATCTATCTATCTATCTATCTATCTATCTATCTATCTATCTATCTATCTCATTTTGTTCGCTATTCTATCTCTTCATATGATCTATCTCATTTTGTTAACTATCTATTCATTTGTTATCTTCTATCTATCTATCTATCTTATTTTGTTCAACTATCTATCCATCTATCTCATTTTGTTCACTATCTATCTATCTTCTATCTATCTATCTATCTATCTATCTATCTATCTATTTTATTTTGTTCATGATTATCTAATATCTATCTATCTATGTATCTATCCATCTCATTTTGTTCACTATCTATCTATCTATCTCATTTTCTTCTCATTTATCTATCTATCTATCTTATTTTGTTTATTATCTATCTATATATCTATCTATCTCATTTTGTTCATTATTATCTATCTATCTATCTATCTATATAAATATATCTATCTATATATCTTATTTTGTTCACTATCTATCTATCTCATTTTAGATGATATATATATATATATATTTTGTTATATATATATAGATATATATCTAAATTTTGAAATCTATCTATCTATCTTCTTTTTTGTTCTACTATATATCTATCTCTTTTTTTGTTCTAAAGAATCTATCTATCTATCTATCTATCTATCTATCTATCTATCATACTAAAATCTATGATTACGTGTGTGCTTGTGTGGTGCAAGCGTGCGTCCGGCGTATAATGATTTAAGTTAATCTGATTTAAAAATATTTTAAGTGAATGAAATTTAAAAATGCGACTTATTTATACAGTAAGTATTTTTATTTAAACTTTCTTTTTTTTCTTTCTGCGACAATTTTTTTAATTTAAATATCTTTAAATTAAAGACAGACATAAAGAGATGCCGCTTTGCTGTTTCGTTCCGTTGTTTGTAGAGTAATTATTTATATTTCAGCTTTCTTTAGACAAACAATATTTGAAATATTTAAAAAAATATTTTAAATTAAACATGATTCAAAAATATTTTTGGCATATTAAAAAAATATTTTCAATTTAATCTGATTTAAAGTTCAAGTTTATCCAGGAAGTTCTATTCCTATTAAATGTTGTAAACCAGGGATCAGCCACCCCCCCCCCCCGACACTTTGAACATCCGAATAAACACGAAGGATTTCTAACCGGCCTCTCCAAATTAACCGTAGTGAGGAAATTGCATTTTTTGTTGATTCTGTTACTTGTTATCCTGTTATTCTTACAATAAAATAAGGAACCTTGTTTAAATAATATGGCATTAACTTCATTATTTTTTCTTAAAACCTCCAGACAAAGGCAGCCTTCTGGAGGGAGCGGTATCAGCTTGGGACAGTTTATTATAGTACATTTGATATCATGTCCCTCCTCCGAGAGACTGCGTAGTGTGTATCCGTCTGGCCTGCACTCTTCAAAGGGTTGCTGACACCTACTTTAAACAATCAGTAAAACGTTAAAAATGAACTTCTAAACCAGACCAATGATGACACGAACGAGTTGAAATATTTAACTGAATCATAATGAGATCTTTCCTTGCCCTCCATTAGAATGTCTGACGCTCAACTCCTCGAGAGCACCTCTCTGCGGCTGCTCGCTCTCACGTTGACGGCTGACCTGAGATGGAACAAATACATTGAGTCAATTGCTTCGTCCACCTCAAGGAAAGTTGGCTCCCTGTGCCGCGCCAGGAAATTTTTCTCCCCGGAATCGATCCTCCAGATCTACAAATCGCCCTTGCATGGAGTATTGTTGCCATATATGGTCTGGTGCCCCTTCTGTTTAACTCGGGGTTCTTGATAGGCTCCAGAGGCGGATATGCAATATAATTGGCCCTGTTCTGACATCTCGTCTACAGTCTCTTTCTCACAGACGCGCCGTCGCCTCTCTCTGTCTGTTTTACAAATACTTTCATGGCAATTGCTCCGAAGAGCTGCATTCGCTGGTTCCCAGACTTCATGAGTTCAAGCGCCCTACGTGGCTGGCATCCCGCTCTCACCCCTTCACTGTCGAAACTCCTAAATGTAGCCGTCTCTTCTATTCCAATAGCTTCATGTCTCGCACCTCTCGCCTGTGGAACTCCCTTCCCTATTCCAGTTTCCATGAGAGCTATAATCTCCAGCTATTCAAGTGTAATGTCAATCGACATCTCCAGTTGCCTTGATCTATCCACTACCCTTCTCCTCATACCCTCTTCTATCACTCCTATCTGATCTTGCTCTAAACTTTCTGTAACCCCTTGCGTCCTAGTGGCTTCCCGCCTTGCTTGGGGTGAAATGCTTAAAAAAAAATAATTTTTATTTCAATAGAATCTTGAAATCAAGTTCAACTTGAACCGTCAGTGATCCAACGGGTCAAAGGTAATTTAGTCTTTTTGGCATTGCAACTTTATATAAATTATCAAATTTATTTAAAAAAACAATTATTTTCAAATTGAACATTTTTATGTTTATACATTCTTTCTATAGATACAAATATTTATTTATTTAAATAATCTGTTTTATAATAAATATTTGTATCTATAAAAGAATGTATAAACATATAAAATATTTAAAATAATTTCTTTATTTTGTCCATTTCATAAATGTGACGTCATTTATTTACATTTGGATACGCCATGAGCAGATATGAATTTACGAGAGATAATCATGGAATATTGAAGTTTAAAGGCAGTAAATTCGACCTTGCTAACCGAACGCTCCTCAGTGGCACGATCGGTTAAGGCACGTCAGGCTAAATGACGGTTCCATATAGGATACAGGTTCGAATCGGACGACGAATATTTTCTATGAAAATTTCTCGGACATTCAGCACATGTTATAAGTGTTGTTTATTATAAAAACATTTTAGTTTTTGAAGATCAAAGTTGACGGGGATGCAAGAAGCTAGTCGATAGTTCCACTAGCGTGTAGTGCGATAGAAGGAACTGTTAACATAGAACATGGTAATAATAACAAAGATGAGGATAATAATCCGAATATTCTTTTTATGTGCCGTGTCCCTTCAGGTCGTGGGCGATCGAGGCTCTTCACTTCCCCTAGCTCTCACTAAATTTTGTCCCTTTGCTACTTCCCCCAGACCCTGTTCTGTCATCCACTTGATTCATTTCGCCAGGTATGTCCCCTTGTTTCTCTTTCCCTCTATTCGACATGTGAGTATCAGATTTTCCAAGCCCTCCTTTCTCATTACTTGTCCCAGAAATTTCAGCTGCCTCTTGTGTTAAGTATAAGCTTCCCCCGTGTTTACATATTCTTCAAAACCTCATCGTTGCTCACACACTCGCTCCATGGTATCCTTAGCATCCTTCTGCAGAACCATACCTCCGTCGCCTTGAGTCTCTTCTTCATCTTTGAGGAGACCGTTCAACATTTGCTGCCGTAAAAGAAGGACGGACGTCATGTATCCGCTTAGTACTCTTTTCTTTGTTACCAAAGAAATCCTCCTGTCTCGTAATACTCTGCCTAACTTTTGGAATGTATCTTTCGTAATCCCAATACGTCTTCGGATCTCAGCGTTGCACTTATCGTCCTCTGTCAGAACACTTACCCCCGCCTGCTTGATTTGACTGCCCCCAGCTTGTAAATCGCATTTTGGGCTCCTCTTTTTACTGATGACCATACATTCTGTCAACCACTTGCTTAAGCCTGCTAAGTATGTCATGAATTGCTTTCCCTTATCTCTCTTTCCCTCTATTCGAACTGAGAGTATCAGATTCTCCAAGCCCTCTTTTCTCATCACTTATCCCAGAAATTTCAGCTGATTCTTCCTGATGTTAAGTATAAGCTACCTCCTTGTTTGCATCTTCTCCAAAACCTCATCGTTGCTCACACGCTCGGTCTATGATATCCTTAGCATGCTTCTGTAGAACTATACCTCCGTTGCCTCGAGTCTCGTCTTCATATTTGAGGAGACCGTCCAACATTTGTTGCTGTATAGGAGGACAGATGTCATGTAGCAGTTCAGTGCTCTTTTCTTTGTTACCAAAGAAATCCTCCTGTCTCGTAATACTCTGCCTAGCTTTTGGAATGCGTCTTTGGCAATCCCAATACGTCTTCGGATCTCAGCATTACACTTACCATCCTCTGTCAAAACACTTCCCAGGCATTTAAATTTCCTCTCCTGCTTGATTTTAGTATCCCCGACCTGTAAATCGCATTTCGGGTTCATCCTTTTACTGATGACCATTCATTCTGTCTTCTTGTGGTTTATACTTAGTCCCTTCTTCTCGCTTTCCTTTACTACCTTCTCTAAGAGGTTTTGTAATTTTTTTCTGTGTCTGCTATCAGCGCTGTGTTATCTGTGTATGTTATGTTGTTAAAACTGTAACTGCCAATGCTGAATTCTGGTAAGGTTTCCAGTTCTCTCAGAATTGCCTCGCTGTATAGGTTGAATAAGTCCGGTGAGAAGATACATCCTTGCCTTACACCCCTTTTTATTTTTGTATATCCCCTGTACTCGTTCTCTATGCGCGTGCATGCCGTTTGCTGCCAGAACAGGTTCTTGATTATCCTAATATGTTTCTCGAATATATTGTAGTGAACAAAACAAGATCTAGATTTAAAATTCAAACGCTAAGCACTGACTCATTGATCTTTTTAGAAATTAAAAAGACTCGAATTTACAAACTTTGCTTAACACACACGCAAAACCAAATCCACAACAAAACTCGTGAAATTTCACACCTTAATGCGAAATATTTTTCGGCCAATAGAAAACTAGGAACAATTTGAAAACAAAATTCAAATAATCTTCAATTCTCAGAAACAAATTCTTTTACGGATCTTTTCGCGAGCCGACGCGAAGTTTGTTCGTCGTCCAATGAAAAGGTCCGAATCATATCCGTGAGTGAATTCCCAAATGACCTTTTCAAGCCACACAAACAAAATATAAAACGGACAAGTTCGCTGGTCACCAGAGAGAAGGAGACGAACGTATTAACACGTCCCTTGACAAACCTCAAGCGATCGTTATTATTATCTCCACCTTTCTCTCTCACCTCTTTTATACTTGATAAACGAACGGAACATTTTAAGTCTGAGCGATTACTTCAAAGACATTCCTACCCTACGATAACGCTTATACAGACATACATCCACACATACGTTCCTGCCTACGTACACATAAACTCATTCTTGCAAGGACTACTACGAACATTTTGACGACCTTGTATCAACCAATATACATTAATTTTATTTCTAAAGATCTAAATTGATTTATACGTATATAAATTTGTTGTTTCACTTCACAGTTTGATCTTCTTGTTTTATACCCCTCTTATGGTGGGCTATCTAACTAACAAGGCCAAATCAAACTAACCTGTTTCCACACTCATACACTTCACTATAACTGATAACCTACTATAATATCAAGGTACCCGAATATATTTATATGGTGTATATAATAATAACCCCTTGTTCAGATATTCGGGCAGAATTTGGTAAGTTATCTTTATCGATGGTCAGATATTTATTTAAATTTTGTGATTTTTGTTAGTCCGTTTGCAACGCGTCAGGTACCAATCAAGCAACCCTTGGCTCCATCTATTATTCTTTCTTTTTGTTATGTATTCGACTAATTCCAGTTTGATCTTTTACCATTTCTATAATCTGTTCTTTTCGTTTTTTTATACGTACTAATGTTTACTCAATACAAGGTCAAGAGC